TCCATGATGGAAGTGGTCCTATGTAATCAACCTGCCACGAAGTTGCTGGTTGATCTCCCCGAGGAATGGTCCCATAACTTGGACTTAATGTTGGTTTCTGCTGCTGGCAAATGGCCATTAACTCTCCACCCTTCAGTTAATCCCACTGGTGTTTATCGGCCAGGCTGGCACAATAAACTATCTCACATAGTCTAATAAAATTATTAACTTCTATATGCTTTGGGTATTTCTGATTTTAAATATCTTTGCAGAAAGATTTTCTTTGTTTATGGGTCTGGATGGTTTAGGGACATAGTAAACAAGAGGAAATGAACAAAACCCAGAATGAAAAGCTAGAAAATGAGTGGATGATGTTCAACCTGCCTCCTAGTTAAATGATCCTGGGCTTTAAACTTTTTTAAACATGGAGGCTTTACCTGATTCAGTTGTAAATTGTATTTACCGATTTAAAAGTTGTTTTCTTTAAAAATAAAAACATGAAGCAGAAATATACATGGATTAAGCCTTCAGTGAATCCTCTGTGACCATAGACCATGTGTAGAGTGCAATGGAAACTGGATTATTTGGGGGGCAGTTAGATTAAATTTTAACACCTTATCATTTGATCTCCCTTTTGACCCATTTTAAATTTGTTCTAGTTCTTAATAATTTCTGCCTTCTTTTTGATGGAGGTTTTTCTGTATTACTGTTATTATTGTTAGTTTTTGTTTTTGTTTGTTGCTTTTCTAATGTTTTCTTCGGGGTATGGCAGGGGAGTTTGGGAGAAAGTGGGGAACTAATAATAATAAGTATAAGAAAGAAGAAAATGTTCTAAAATTGATTGTGATAATAATTGTACAGCTCTTGATGTGACTGAATTATTGAGTTGCCTGATGTGGATTATATGTCAATAAAACTGTTAAAAAAAAGAATAAGAGTTGTATGAGAGACCCCTGTAAAATGTTTTTTTTAATAGGATTTTAGTCTACAAGACTTCAACTAGAAAACATTGGTACTGTAAGAAATAATTTGATTTATATAAATACGTGTGTTTTAATTAAACCAATCCACTGCCATTGAGTCAATTCTCAATACAGGTTGTTTGAGACTGTAAATCACTAAAGGAGTACAGTTTCATCTTTCTATTACAAAGAGACTGGTGGGTGTGAACTGCTGACCTTGTAGTTCACAGCCCAAGATATAACCCATGATGCCACCAAGGCTCCTTGTATTCTAATTATATCCTGAATTCTAACCATATAGTGTCTTGCACAGTGATTAGATTGATATTTCAAATTACTCTATAAAACAATTTTTTTTAACATTAAACACATTTACAATAGGTTCCATTTATTTCTACCTTAGTATTTCTTCATGGTATTAGTATCAAGAACACTTGTAGTTGTTCTTTTAAAAAATCAATTTCTCCATTTAAAAAAAAGTTGACAGGTTTTGCGGACCATGTAACTAACTAGGAAAGTAGGCACTTCTTTTATACATGAATTGTCAAAAAATCTCAGGCCCTGGGTGATGCGAACATTTTGTGCTCAACTACCATAAAACAGAGTGAAGACAGTATGGAGTTTAGTTCTATGTTGTAACACAGGGGTGCCAGTTTTCCAGGGTCAGAGCAATGGCTCGGTTTCTTGTTTTTACTCCTTTTTCCTTTCCCTTCCCCATCCCAAGCCTTCCCCCCCTCCCCTTTTATCACAAAGCTCAACATTTTCTGATTTCAAAAAACCTTTGTAATAAAACAATAAAAGAAGTAGAAATGGATGAATAAGTCAATTGAGCTCAAAAGTTTTGTGATCTCTTATTCATCCATGTCTATTTTCCAAGTGTACTTGTATTATTTAGTTATATTTATGGGCTGGATTCAAACTCCCTGGATTTCATGTTCTGATTACTATGTAACTTAAGGTAAGTCATTTATTCTTCTCTTTCTCAGTTTTCTTTATAAAACAGATATGATAAAAGAGCTTACTATTAAAACAGAACTATACATACAAACTCTTCATTCTAGGAAGAAACAGAAATATATTATTTGAAATAAGTTATTTGGTGTTTCTAATAAGTGGAATTTATCAAATTTGAGTCCATCAAATGTAGATGGACTCATTATACATAAATAAGCTTTGGGACACTTAAGAAAAGATTAAGTTTATTAAACCAAACTTTGTTTATAATGAATTCTATGCAGATATTAATGCAAATGAAATCACCAAATTCCTAACTCCTTTAATGTAATTTTTCATCACAGCTCCTTTTTATACCAGCTAAGTTGGGTCATGGATTTCTTGGTAAATGAGAACCAGAATGTTCATAAGTCTGCATCTAGTAATTCTCTAGGTTTACATAAATGCTTTTCTCCATACTTGTACTATTTCCATTAATTTTCATTATTTTTTAGCCAGATTGGACCATTTTTTTTTTTCTGTTTTAGATTCTGCTTAACATTTTAGCCATCTTGTTAATGCATATCTCCCATTTCTATAATACAGCCTAATCATCAACCTCAATGATTGCTTAATATTTTGTTAAATATATGCATTAGAATTTATTTGTTATTTTAGTTAAATAATTCAATCATATCAAGAAGAGTTATACAATTATTACCAAAATCAATTTCAGAACATTTTTTCTTGGGCTCATTGTTATTAGCTCCCCAATTCCCTTGACCCCCTGCCATATCCCCAAGAAATCATTAATCCAGTTAAGTGTTTTCAAAGATTTATCTATCCTGGATTTCATATTCAGAAAAACATACCCCCAAAAAAACCCCACTAACAATGACAAAGTAAAACAAAGAAAAACCTTTATCAAAAATAATGTAGAAATATTTTTAAACTAGAGTAAATTTAAAGTAGGTCAAAAGAGAAGTCAAATGATATGGTACGAGATTTTACTCTGACTACTTCTATAACAATTCACTTTCCAATGCATTCTGCATAATAACAAGACTATTCACCTCCCTCAACTACGGTTAGAAGGAATTCACCAGAGACCCAATCTATGGATGGACCCTGCAAATGGATTTGGGACTTCCACTGTGATCCATACCCTTCTGCAAACCAGGTGCTTTCTATTTAAGTTCTGATATCATTCCCTCCTTCAGATATGGATTTTATTATTTATAATCCTTGGATCACACAGGCTGGTAAGCTTCTTCCCTGTTGACTTAGTAGATGCCTCACTTATATGACTGCTTGTTTGAAAACAAGACTTTAAGACTTAGACACTATTCTTTCTTATAGCTGGGCACCATCTAGTTTCTTCACCACACTTTGCTATAGCACCCATATCTTCATTGATCTCTTCATGAGGTTGAGCATAAAGCAGGGATACATCACAAAAACGAATTGTCCTTAGAACTTACCTTTTTTTTCCCCTTATGTTTTGCTCTGTTGAACTTTCCTGTTCTGATATTACTATCCCTGCAGGTTAATGTTTCAGACTACTTCATGAAAAACTATGCTCATAATAAATATTAAAAATATTGATCAAATTTCTAACAGCTGACTGTTCTTGACTAATTTGAAATTATATTATGGTATTAATATCAAGAACAATTATTTTCTTTAAAAAGACTTAACATAATGAATCTATTGAATTGTATGATAAGTGAATTATATGTCAATAAAACTAATAAATAAAAATGAAAAAGACTTTGTTTAACTGATAAGACTTTGTGAACTATTTAATATGAGTTCTCTTTTATCTATACTTATCAAAAACCTGAAAGATTAACCTCTCATTAATCAATTTATAAGTGTACTCAACTTCATCAAAATCATTATCTGACCTCATTTATAAGATGGCTACTAGAGAAATGGTCTAGATTCAAATCCAAGATTCATATCCTGATTATACCACTTTCTATGTAACTTTTGGTAAATGACTTAAACTTTCTAGGTTCATTAGTTCCTTATCTATAAAATGGAAATAATAAAATACTACTATTATTTCACAGAAATTATATTCATTCTATGCACACATGCATAATGCTTAGTGTTATATTTGTTAACGAGTATTAAGCAAACGTTAAATATAAGGCTAATATACCTACAAGACATTTTCCTACTTGCACAGGCATTATGCTTTTTAATTTTTACATTTAAAGACATGAATGTATTTTCGGAAAAACAAATAATATAAAAAATATATTATTTGAAGCATTTTATTCAACGTTTCTAATAAAGTAATTTTAAAATATAGATGAGTCATAATTTTACATAAACATAACTTGGGGGTATTAAGTAAACATTAAATTTATTAAATGCAATTTGCTGGTTTGAATATAAAAATATTAAATTATAATGCCCATGTATATATGAATGAATATTAAATCATGAAATTAATAACTTATAACTTATTTATGGCATTTTTCATCACAGGTGCTTTTTGAACCAGCTACATACATTGTCTCATGGATTTCCTGGTGGATAAAAACTACACGTCAGTGACAGGGTTCATTTTATTGGGATTAACAGATAATTCAATCCTTCAGGTCATCCTCTTCATGGTCTTCCTATTCATCTACCTGGTGACTGTCTTTGGCAATCTTAGTACAATCATTCTCATAAGAATCTCTTCTCAACTCCACCATCCTATGTATTTCTTCCTGAGCCAGTTAGCACTGGCAGACATAGGCTGTACATCCTCTGTCACACCAAATATGCTTGCAAACTTTCTAGTAGAAAGACATACAATCTCCTATCTTGGGTGTACCATCCAACTTGGCATAGCTGTTTTCTTTGGGACATTTGAATGCTTTCTTCTTGCTGTCATGGCCTTTGATCGCTTTGTAGCAATCTGCAACCCACTGCTTTATTCAACCAAAATGTCCACACAAGTTTGTGTCCAGTTATCCTCTGTGGCTTACATAGGTGCTTTTCTCAATGCATCCTGCTTTACGATTTCAGTCCTTTGTTTATTCTTTTGTGGACCAAATAGGATCAATCACTTTTTCTGCGATTTTGCTCCTTTGGTGGAACTTTCCTGTTCTGATGTCACTGTACCTGCAGTGGTGCCCTCATTTTCTGCAGGCTCCATCATTGTGGTCACAGTGTTTGTCATTGCTGTCTCCTATGTCTACATCCTCATCACCATCCTGAAGATGCGCTCCACTGAGGGCCGCCACAAGGCCTTCTCTACCTGCACCTCCCACCTTACTGCAGTCACTCTATACTATGGGACCATTACATTCATTTATGTGATGCCCAAGTCCAGCTACTCCTCTGACCAGAACAAGGTGGTGTCTGTGTTCTACACGGTGGTGATCCCCATGTTGAACCCTCTCATCTACAGTCTCAGGAATAATGAGATTAAAGGCGCTCTCAAGAGAGAGCTTGGTAGGAAAATATTTTCTAAATGAAACCTGTTGGGTTGATACAATCACATAAAATTAAAATAATATCCAAATAAACTTATTACCTATGTTTAAAATAATCTGTATGTCATTAGCCAACATAGAAATTAATAGTAAATGTAGTGTGGATTTTCAGATAGTAAATAAGAGACCAACAGTAATGAAATGAAATTTATAATTAAGAAACATATTGATTACATACAAAAATTCTTAATCTGCTGAAAACAGTGGTGGTGTTTTATTCATGTATTATTTTTATGAAAGCATTTCTATATCATAAGTCAAGGTTATTGAATCTTGAAACCCTTAACCCAAAGCCCAAATCGACTGCATCAAGCCAATTCCAATTCATAGCAGCACTGTATACAGTTTCTTAGGCTGTAAATCTTTATGAAAACAGATAGCCTCGTGACTGTCCTCCTGAAAATGCTAAATTAACTTCTACATGCTTCTTACTCTCTGCATTTCCTGTATAAAATGGGATGGTTTATTTGCTATGCCTGGCCTGGAAGATTTTTTTCTATCTACTTGTTTATTATTTTGTAACTGTCACTGGATACTATGCCTTTCTATTTCCAATTACTTGTAGGACATTTTGAGTTAACATTTACTTACCTTTTTGGTATTTAGCCCACTGAATATTTATGCTTTCATGTTGCTATAATAAATTTAACTATTTGAAACTGTACAAATTCTCTTGGGCCTGAAAAAAAACTGCTGGCTTTCTTGTATCAATTATGCTTAAGTTAAATGAACAGGGGATATAGAGGAAATATGAAGCAAATAAATCTAAAAGTTTCTTTATTGAAGGATATTAATTATATATTTTAATGAATTGAATTGAGTGTTTCCCGAAATGTGTGTTGGAATCTGACCCCTACCAATAATAATCTATTATAAAATGACCACATTCAATAATGTAATGCACTCTAGTCAATCAATTAATCAATTAGTTGATGTTTTGTAGTATAAAGTAGGACCTAAACCCAATCACCTGAATGACAGAAAAAGAATTGCACACACAGACAGGCACAGACCCAAGTGGAGAACACGGACATCATACAAAGACTGCTGATGAGACAAGGAGCTAAGGGATGCCTATGACAAGCTTTTTCTTATGATGTAATGCATTTCTTGTATGCCTTTATTAGATGAACATTTACTTCATTTACAAAATAATCTTACACTTGCTCAAAGAGGACCAGGAAATTAACATAACAATAATCAATAACAGGAGTTTTTCCAGAATATATGTTCTTTTTTAAAAATCGTTTTATTAGGGGCTCATACAAATCTTATCACAATCCACACATACATAAATTGTATAAAGCACATTTGTACATTCATTGCCCTCATTATTCTCAAAACATTTGCTCTCCACTTGAGCCCCTGGCATCAGGTCCTCATTTTTGAATATATCCTTAAAGAGAACAGTAGATTTGGTTTCTACAGTCAGAGCAATTAGACTGATTAAAAAGATTAATAATTTATAAAAGGAGCCATTATGATTCTTATATTTTATATATGTTATACCACTTAATTTGCTTTTGTAACCATATTCTTAAGGTATTAATTTCAAAAACTATAGTGCTTTAAAATAGCCATTTATTTGCTCTTACTTATGATGAAAATTATCTAAACTGTGTTAAAAGCATGACCATCTTTAAGGAGAGAATTACCATGGCCAAGACTGTGATAGGAACTTTTAGTGTCCAGAACTGAAAGCAGATTTCTGTTCTTTAAAACCACCCACTGTGGTGCTTCTGCTACAGCATCACTAAGTAACTAAGAGAGAGATACTGACGTATCTAAAAAATAGTTTAAGGATGGGGTACTAGACTATTGTATTCTTTATGAGTCATTTAAAATAAATACATGCATTTTTAATAGACATAGATATGAATAAAATAACTTGAATAACTAACTCTAGCTATTTTGTGAATGGGCAACCATGCATATATGGGAAAGTCTTACGGGTAAGTCCATAAGAACAACTATTACGGTGGTGAAATGGAGAGTGGATTTGAAAGCAATATAAGATGTAAGATCAACAAAAGTTGATCACTAGCTAGAGCAGTGGATCTCAACCTTCCTAATTCCGTGACTGTTCAATACAATTCATGTTGTGGTGATACCCTACCATAAAATTATTTTTGTTGCTACTTCATAACTGTAATTTTCCTACAGTTATGAATCAGGCAACCCCTATGAAAGGGTAGTTCGACCCGCAAAGGGGTCGTGACCCACAGGCTGAGAACCACTGAGCTAAAGCATGAGAGGAAATTAGGGTTCCATGTATTGGTTTGATGCTCAAGCCCAGACAGTAGACCTAGCCACTTTCAGGGAATTTGGCAAGCCATTTAGATATTGTTAATAATTGTATAAACATATAAGTATGTACAAGTAGTCAATAATGACTAAGTGGTCATTATTGAGACATTTACTTCAAAAGGTGACTGGATGACAACAAAAATTAAAAGTAAACATTCTACACTCCGACCGACCTGAATTTGATACCTGGATCAAATTTTACTAATTGAGTACCCTTGAGTGAGAAGATTAAACTCCTAAGCCTCAGGTCTCTAATTCATAAGATGAGAATAATAGTAATATGTATCATACCAAAGAATTGTAAAAATTAAATGAGCTTGGCAAGGAGTAAGTACTGGATGCTAGTCGGTTTGTATCACCAATGATAAATGCTAGTATCACCAAGGTAGGAGGCATGAGATAGGACTTTATAAATTTAGGAAATTCTATTGAGTCTTTAGGTTGAACATACCTACTCTATCCTCATTCCCTGAGTCATATAAACTATAAAGTAGTAGGCATTCCTTTGAAGCATGTAGTATGAGTGATTAAAATTTATCAAGAAGACATTTAAAACTTTTTTTACTTCATAGCTCTCTAAGAATCAAATTTTCAAGATATTAATTTTATAACTTTTTCTAGAAGAAATATGTGTAAGTCTTAAAAATCCAACTTTACATGGTATTTCACCTCCTATTCCCCAAGATACCACATGGAGATTCTTATATCTACCGCTACCAAACTCCACCCATTCTTGTTGAGTCAATTAAAACACAAAGTGATCCTATAAGACAGAATAAGAAGGGGGAAAAAACACAGTATAAAAACTGCCCCAGAGTTTCCTAAGCTATAATCTTTATGGAAGCAGACTGCCACATTTTTCCCTGTCGTGGCTGATGGGTTTCAACCAACAACCTCTCAGTAAGCAGTTAAGTACTTAAATACTGCGCTACCAAGGTTTCCATATCACTACAAATATTTTTTAAATGAACTAATGCCAACTGAATGATGCTAAGTTTATATCGTTTTTAAAAATCATTTTATTGGGGACTCACAGTTCTTATCACAATCCATACATCCATCCATTGTATCAAGCACATTTGTACATATGTTGCTATCATCATTTTCAAAACATTTTCTTTCTACTTGAGCCCTTGGTATCAGCTCACTTCCTCCCTCTCTCACCCTCCTTCCCTCATGATCCCTTGATAATTTATAATTTATTTTTCATGTCTTATACTGACCGCTGTCTCCCTTCACCCGCTTTTCTGTTGTCCATCTCCCTGGGAGGGGGTTATAGTTGATCATTGCGATCGATTCCCCTTTTCTTCCCCTCCCTTCCTCTTACCCTCCTGGTATCATCGCTATTCTTATTACTGGTCCTGGTGGGGGGGCGGGGGTTAACTGTCCTGGATTCCCTGTGCTGTGAGCCCTTATCTATACCAGTGTACATGCTCGGATCTAGCCGTATTTGTAAGGTAGAATTAGGGTCATGATAGTGGGGAGGGAATTAAAAAACTAGAGGAAACTTTTATGTTTTCTCAGTGCTACACTGCACTGACTGGCTTGTCTCTTCCTTATAACCCTTCTGTAAGGGATGTCCAATTGTCTACAGATGGACTTTGGTTCTCCACTCCGCCCTCCCTTGAGTTTGCATTTTTACATATGAAATGTAGTCTTTAACCTAAAATATCAAACATGAACAGAGACTCAACATTTAGTTAGAAGATAATCTAACATACTCCCAATAATTATGTGATGAAAGTATACCAACATCTACCAAACCCAGTCAAACCCAACTCCCTGCCATGGAGGCAATGCCAGCTCATAGCTACCCTACGAAACAGGCTAAGACTATGGGAGGAGAAACCCGTCTTTCTCCCGGGGAGCAGCAGGTGGCTTCACTGCTGATCGCTGATCGTGCAGCCAGCAGCCCAATGTTTAACCACTATGCCATCAGGGCTCCTCACAATGTCCACAGTGAATCAGAACAAAATGTGCTCAGAAAAACTGACAAACACACAAATCCCCAAACCAAACCCACAGATATGAAGTCAATTCCAAGTCAGAGCAACTCTATATAGATCGGGGACTATAAATCTTTATATCTGCTCATCTTTCTCCCACTTGTACAAGAGGGATTCAAAAATTTTGAGGAAAAATAAAATGAAGAGATAGTGGGATTTTTACACAAACATTTTTAAGCTCCTTCGTGGGTCACTGAAGAATTGATAGAACCTTAAAAACGAGTTGTGTCTGTGTGATTTGAGTTGCTCAGGCTTCACTAGGGGATGTAATAATGATCTTTGGTGCTTTTTAATTCACACTTGAATCTTTAGAGTCTATAGAGATTTACTCCCAAAGGAAAAAAATAATAGATCGTATGGCTGCTATATAAACATGACTTTCCATTTAGTACTGAAAGATGAATAATTATTTCCAGAGGTAAGATTTTTTTGTCTTTTGTGAATGAATCTGATGTACTGATACTCATTTGTCACTTTAGAACACACAGATCTCTTAATATTGTGTCTGTACTCCCAACCCGTAGTTAAGTGACAGGCAGACGTAATAGAGCAGTCAAGTAGCAAATCACTTTTGCTGAATTGACTAAGTTCCCACCAATAGGTTGGTGTGAAAATATGAGCATGACTCAAATGACCACAATTCCTATATGGCACCCCTCATGATGAAAA